TGAAAAGGAATCAGGGAGGTAAAGGAAAAGAAAGAATCTGAAAGAGAAGAACAGCATTAAACAGGTGTTAATAAGGGAGATATGGCTAAAAATGTTTTTTTTAAAGGGAGGTTGGAGGGAGGGTTATACAAGGAATCTTGGGCATAAAGGGAAAGAAGGAGCTCAAGAGAGGTGGGACCATAGGAGAAGGTTGTTATTAAGGGAGAAATGAGGAAAATGGGCTCACTTGAAATGGGGAAACCATGGTGGAAGTGTTACACAATTAACCCTTAGATTAGAGTTCTCCACACTGCTTTCCACAGGGGTTGAACAAGTTTGCAGTCCCATCAACAGTGGATGAGCATTCCCCTTTCCCCACATCCTCTCCAACATTTGGTATGATTTGTTCTCTTGATCTTAGCCAGTCTGACAGGGGTAAGATGAAATCTTAAAATGATTTAATTTGCATTTCCCTAATTACTAGTCATCTTGAGCACCTTTTAACATGATTCTTAGCCATCTTTATTTCTTCTTTTGAGAACTCTCTCTTCAGTTCCTTAGCCCATCTTTTAATTGGGTTACTTCCTTTCTTGATTCTTTGTTTTTTGAGTTCGTCATATATTCTGGATGTGAAACCACAGTGAGATGTGTTGCTGGTGAAGATTTTCTCCCAGTCTGTGGGTTTTCTCTTCATTTCCTTGGTTGCTTCTTTTGATTTACAGAAGCCTTTAAGTTTAATAAAGTCCCATTTGTTGATTCTTGACATTGTTTCCTGAGCAATTGATGTCCAGTTTAGAAAAATCCTTTCATACACTTATATCTTGTAGGTTATTGCCAATGTTTTCTTCTAACAGCTTCAGAGTTTCAGGCCTCACATTGAGATCTTTGATCCATTTGGAGTTGACTTTTGTGCAAGGTGAAAGCTAGGGATTTAGGTTCATTGTTCTACATGTGGAGATCCAGTTTTGCCAGAACCATTTGCTAAACATGCTGTCTTTCCTCCAGTGAATAGTCTTGGCTCCTTTGTCAAATATCAGGTGGCTGAAATTGCGTGTGCTCTTATTTGGGTCTTCAAAATTGTTCCATTGATCTACGAGTCTATTTTTTTGTGCCAGTACCATGTTGTTTTTATGACTATAGCTCTGTAATTCAGTTTAAAATGTGGTAAAGTAATCTCTGCAGCATTGCTCTTAGTACTCAGGGTTGCTTTGGCTATCTGATGTCTTTTGTGCTTCCATATGAATCTTAGGATTTTCCCCCCCAAATCTCTGAAGAATGTCATGGGGATTTTGGTTGGCATTGCATTTAATCTATAGCTTTTGGTCTGGTGGTCATTTTCACAATATTAATTCTTAATTTTGGTGGTTCCCATGCATTTAGATACCCATCCATTTCTTTTAGGTTTTTAAATTTAGTAGCATATATGTCTTTAAAGTATTTCCTTATAATGTTTTGGATCTTTGTGTGTCTGTTGTGATGTTTCCCCTTTCATCTCTGATTTTATTGATTTGGAGGTGCTCTTTCTTTTGGTTAACTGGTCTAGTGGTCTTCAATATTGTTTATCCTTTCAAAGAACTAGCTCTTGGATTCAATTCTTTGTATTGTTTTCTTTATTTCTATTTCATTATTTTCCTCCCTGATTTTTGCTATTTGTTCCTGTTTCCTGGGTTTGGGTGTCATTTGTTGTTGCTTTTCAAGTGTCTTTAGTTGCAATGTTAAGTCATTTATTTGTGTTCTTTCTGATTTTTTTTTTAATCTAGGCATTTAGAGGTATAAACCTCCCTATAAAGACTGCTTTCAGCATGTCCCAGAGGTTTTGTTGTGTTGTATTGCCTTTTCATTTAGTTCTAGGAATACTTTTATTTCTTTCTTAATTTCTCCTTTGACTCACTCATCATTCAGGAGTTTGTTGTTTAATCTCCATGTGTTCATGTAGTTACTAGGGTTTCTTCCAGTGTTGATTTTAAGCTTTATTGCATTGTGGTCTGATAGAATGCATGGAATTATTTCAGTCCTTTTGTATTCGTTGAGGTTTGTTTTGTGCTCCAGCACATGGTTGATTTTGAAGAAAGTTCCATGGAACACTGACTAGAAAGTATATTCTTTGGTGCTTGGGTGGAATATTTGGTAGATGTCTGTTAGGCCCATTTGATGTATGGTATTGTTTACTTCAGATGTCTCTGTTAATTATCTGTCCTGTTGACCTATCTAATGGAGACAATGAGGTATTTAAGTCCCCTACTCTTAATGAGTTGGGATTAGTCTGGGTCTTAATGTCTTGTAGTACTCTTTTTACGAAGTTGGGTGCACCAGAGTGTGGTGAATATATGTTCATGATTGTAATATCATCTTGGTCAATTGTTCCTTTGATCAGAATGAAGGGGCCCTCTTTATCTCTTCTGATTAGTTTTAGTTAAAGCCTATGTTGTCATATATTAGAATTGCAATGCCTGCTTTTTTCATAGTACCATTCACTTGGTATATTTTTTCCATCCTTTCACCATAAAATAGTGCCTGTCCTTGAAAGTGAGATGAGTTTTTTTGAAGACAGAAAAAAGTTGGGCTTTCTTTCTTAATTCATTCAACTAGTCTGTGTCTTTTGACTGGGGAGTTTTTTCCACTGATATTTCAAGTTATTAATGAAAGATATATATTGATTCCTGTCATTTTTATTTCTGTTCACATTCTTGGTATAGCTGTGCAGTTCCACAGTTATACTTTCATTATGTTTTTTTCCATAACCCCTTGGGTATAGTCGGTCTTTTCTTCAGCTCTTTGTATCGCTTCAAGAACTCTATGAAGGGCTGGTTTGTGAACATGAATTATTTCATCCTATTTGTGTCATGAAGGATTTTTCTTTCCCATTCAACTATAATAGACATTTTGGCTGGGTAAAGTAATCTGGGTTGTGATCTGTGGTCATTTAGAACTGGGAATAATTTGATCCAGGCTCTTCTGGCTTTCATAGTTTGCACTGAAAAGTCAGCTGTAATTCAGATGGGTTTTCCTTTATATGTGACTTTTTTTTTTTTTTGGCATCTTTCAGTACTGTCTCTTTGTTCTGTATGTTTAGTGTTTTTACTATGATGTGCCATGGAGACTTTCATTTCTGGTCCTATTTGATGTTTTGCATGCTTTCTGTATTTGTATGGGTATGTCTTTCTTTAATTTTGGGAAATTTTCTTCTACAATCTAAAGATCTGGTCCCTGCCGTTATCTTGAGATTCTTCTCTTTCCTGTATGCCTATGATACATAAGTTTGGTCTTTTTATGGTGTCACACAATTCTTACATATTCCATATTTGTGTTTTCTTAAAATTTTCATAATCTTTGCTTGAGTAGTTTAATTTGTCCACGTTATCTTCCAGTCTTGATATTCTATTTTCCATTTCATTCATCCTGTTGGTGAGGCTTTCTCCTGTCCTTTGTAATTGGCTTCCTGAGTTTTTCACTTCCATCTTCATTTCAGCCTGAATATTCTTCAATATTTCTGACTCTTCTGAATTCATTCAAAAGTTTATCCCTATCTTCTTTCAGTTCTTTGATTTCTTTCTTTGTGTGTTCTTTAAATTCACTGAATTCTTTTATCATGTTTATTATTGTTCTTTTGAGCTCCATGTCCTGTTGGTACTTGGTGGGCATATATTATTTTGATTCTTCATGGCACTATTTTTTCTCTGTGACTTTGAGATGTGGATTTCTTTTGTAGCTTCTGATTCTTGTGTGAAACTCAAGCCTTCCTTTGTTGAGTTTAGGTCTCCTTCTTTTTGTAAACTTTATGTGCCTTTGTGGTTTGCTTGTTGAGCATGAAAAGCTGGTTGGTATAAGCTTCAGGTTTTCTCTTTTGATTTTATATTGGAGTGGCCAAATTGCTTTTGTCTCCAAGAGTTCCCACAGAGGCCTGAGTTGGATGAGGATCAGATGCTTTCAGGCTTTCTCCTAAGTTCTGGATCCCTCCAGGAAAGATGCTGGTCTCAGGAATTTGGGGGCTGGGATGGCCTGGGAACAGGGCCCAGGAAAGATGCTCATCCTAGGAAGCTGGTGGCTGTGTCACCCAGGAATGCAAATGGAAGTGGGGATTGGAAGAAGGTCCAAGGGTTCCTGGGGACTCCTGGGATGAGTTGGGTTGGTCTGAATGTAAATGATCAGGAATTAGTGGTGATTCTGGGCCAAACGGTCATTCCAGGGGTCTGGGGTGGCAAGACAAGAAATGGGCCAGTACCCAGGCTAGTTGGAGAGATGGAGTTGGGGAGCTGGGAGGGTGAATGAGGCTTTTAGAGTCAAGTGGCAGTGGGCACCATGGGACTTACCTAGGAAAGATGCTGGCACCAGGAAGCTGGTGGCTGTGCCACCTAGGAATGCAAAGGGAGGTGGGGTTGGGAACAGGCCCACAGGGCTTCTGGGACTGCAGGGATGAAACGGGCTGATCCGGGTGCAAAGGAGCAGTAAGCAGTGGGGTTCTGGGCCAAGAGGTCAGTCCAGGGGTCTGGGGTGTCAAGACAAAAAATGGGCCAGTACCCAGGCTAGGAGAAGAGAAGGGGTTGGAGAGCTAGTAGGGTGAATGAGGCTGGGGCTATCAAGGTGTAGCGGGTGCTGTGAGACTTACTCAGGAAAGATGCTGGCACCAGGAAGCTGGTGGCTGTGCTGCCCAGGCAGCAAAGGGAGGCGGGGGCAGGAAGACAGCACTTTGATTCTTATGTTTAATCTCTCTCTATCATATCCTCTGGGATATGATGGGGTGCTGTTGGTTTCTTTTCATGGAACATCTGTTATATGATCTAGTTTCATATAGTTATCCACTTTGCTCATGTACCTGAACCTAGATTTTTCTTCATAAAACTTTATTTTAGAATCATTTTACATACACAGAGAAGGTACAATGATTACATATATTTCTTACATATGCCTTAGGCAGTTTCCCCATTGTGTCACCTTCATTCCTATAATACAGTTGTTATGATTAATGAACTCATGCTCAATTACTAATATTAAATTAAATATCATTTTGAGGAAGAATAGTTTCCAAGTCTGTAAACTCCTTTATCTTCTCTTACAATTTGGTTGAAAGTAGATTGGTCTCCTAAAATTAACAGAATTATGAAAGTATTTCTGCATATCCACAGACAGCATCTTTAGCGGTAACCAGAGCCAATGTAGACTGTTTTTTATTTGTTTGTTCATTCCTTTGCTGGTTTTGAAGCAAGGACTCCTGTAGTCCCCAGGTGGCCTGCAAATCACTATGTAGATCATGCTGGCTTCAGTCTTAAAGAGATCGACCTACCTCTGCCTCCTGAGAGCTGGGATTAAGCTTGTGCCACTCTGCTGGGCTGAAATTCAGACTCTTGTTTCAAGAAGTGAAGGGATATGGGATGATGAACAAGTGCTTAGTGTGCTTAGTCCTTTTGTACATAGTGACGGGGGTAAACAACTGCACTTCTCTTCTCTCCTCTCCTCTCCTCTTCTATCTTTTCTCTTCTTTTCTTTCTTTTCTTTAGGCCCCTTCTCATATACTGCCTTGGGAATAAGGTTGCACAGAATGCTCCCTCAATGAGATTTCAGTTCCCTGTAAGAAGGCCTAAAAAAATCAATTGCTAGAACAGTTCCATTCATGATGATTTGGATCTTAAATCATTGAGAATCTCTCTCTCTCTCTCTGTCTCTCTCTGTCTCTCTCTTTTTTCTCCTAACATAAAGAAATCTTTTTTTCTCCACTACACTCAATGACTGTTTCATGGAATAGAGTTTTATTGTCCATAAAATCATAAGTTACTTATTTCTCACACTTTTGCTCAGTGCCCTTTGGTACAGATAGGTAGTGAAATCTATTGCAGATAAAACAATAATTAAAAGTTAAAGTCCAAAATTAAATTTCTGATGAGAAGAAAACTAGGCCTAGCTATAGCAATTGCAGAGTAAACATTTAATATTTACATGAGGTAAATTTTTGTGTAACATATTTATAAACTTAATAAGGCTTTAGATAGACCATATATTATCACCTATTAAATCCTATCTATACCTGTCACTGTATCTATCATAATCACTTTACAATCATATATTATTTAACATCCACAACTACCCTTCATGATACTATTTTTAAAAATATTATTTATTTATTTTTTATCTATTTTTTAAATATTTTATTTTATGTGTATGCATATATTACCTGCACATAGATAAGTGCACCCGTGTCGTGCAGTGCCCACAGAGGACAGAAGTGCCCGTCGGATCCCCTGGAACTGGAGTTACAGAGAGTTGTTAGCTGCCATGTGGGTGCTGGGATTCGAACCCGGGTCTTCTGCAAGAACAACTAGTGCTCTTAATTGATGGCTCTTAACTGATGGCTGAGCCATCTCTCCAGCCCTTATTTTTATTTTATTTTATGTGTATGACTGTTTTGCTTGCATGTGTGTAAGTGCACCTGTGTCATGTAGTGCCCATGGAGGTCAGAGGAAGGCATTGGAATCCCCTGGAACTAGAGTTATAGAGTTGTTAGTTGCCATGTGGGTGCTGGGAATTAAACCTGGGTCCTCTGCAAGAGCAGCAAGTGTTCTTAACCACTGAGCCATCTCTCCAGCCCCATAAATGGAAATTCTTAATTTTAACACAGCAACAAAATAATTGTTTCTGTCAGTCTGCTAGGTTAGCTAGACACAATTTCTCCTGTTTGTTATTTTTTTTCCTCTTATGAATACTGAGATTTAATTAAATAAAACTGGTATATGGGGCATTTTCGTTCTTCAGAATGAAAATGGGCACATCAAGAAGTTCACCTTACAGGTGAAAATCAAGACATTAAAGCATAGACAGCAGTGTGGGGTTTTCTTCCCTGTGGGTGGGAGTGCTATGTGTGGATGGGGGTGCTATGTGTTGGTAGGAAAGTGCTTTTTCATGGGATGCTAGAAGATCTTGAGCTTCTGGATCTCAAAACATTTCTCCAGTGCATACTTGGACAGGGAGTTAGTGCTGGAGTGTCAGAATATTCTGGAAGCTTCAGTAAAAGTAAAGTACCCACCACTGGTCTGAAAGTTAGCCTAAGGCAATTGCAGGAAGTCAGCCAACTCAACCTTTCCATTGTCTGACAGCCATTTAGAGAAGATAACTTTACACCTTGTTGCTGAGGGAAGCCCTGGCTTATATTTTTACCCAGCATAATTTTTCACTGTCAGGGTCCACAACTCAGATAATGAACAATATATTTCCTGGTGTCTCTGTTTGTGGATGACCTTTCTATGATTTTTTTTCTTTATAAGCCTACTGAATTGTGACATTTTGAAAGTATGAACAGGATTCAGTTACCTTTGTATACTTCCTTAGCACAATTTTAAATCTTTCATAGAACTTGTACTCAACAAATGTTTATTAAACTGATTTCTGCATTAATATTCTCTAATAAAGAAGAAAGTTGCTAACACATATAGAAACATTGTAGAAGATACTAATAAGAAAGTCCTTGTTTATAAGATCTCTTTTGGTCCCTAAAACTACCTTGCAAGCTATTCCTATTTTATGAAAGAGGAAGCATAGAGCAGTCAGTCAAACTATACTGTAAAGTTAGTAAAGTAAATAGCAAAACTGGAATTCAGATTCCGGAAGATGGTGGATTATTTGCAGCCACTGATGATTAGGCTCTCCAAAGACTATTGTTAGAATAACTGGAGAGAAGCTGCCCTTTGAGATATGACTGACAGCAGGAAGGCACCGAAGATTCAGTAATGAACAAACAGCTCCTAATAAAATTTACCAAGAATTTGGAGAATGGACGAGAGAGCGACCACTTGTGTATTATGTGACTGGTAAAAGGGCAGAGAGCAGGATGCTGAGAGAAAGAAAAAACTAGCAACTCATAAACACAACACTGTTGCTAACTCTGATCAGAATTACAGTATAACCAAATGAGGATCTTGAAGTGTACATAACATGCTGGCACTGGGAAATGTCTGTCTTCTTCTCAGCATTTAGTGTTGGCAGAAAGCCAGTTTGAGAGACTTCTATCTCAGATTGTAATTCTAGAACTCAAAGTTCCCTACATTGTCCTATCTCTAGAAATTTTCATCAAGGGCCATATGTTACCCAACAAGTGCTGACCTAAGAGCTCATTGGCTATAAGAGGAAAGATGTTGATTGCTTTGCACAGTGGGAAACCAATTATAGTCACATCACTGGGCAAACAGAAATACAGCCTGAAACTGAGAGTCTGCAACAAGACATTATAGGTAAATGGACTCAAAATCAAGCAGGAGTATTTGTACTTATATCTGACAAAGGGAACCTTAAGCCAAAATTAGTCAGAAGAGACAAACAAGATCACTAAATATTTACAAAGGGAGCAATCTATCAAGAGGATATAATAATTATATATGCATCAAATATTTGTGCATCCAAGTTCATAAAACAATGCTAGACATAAAAAATTATATACAAAAACCCAGCATAGAGCTGGAGAAATAGGCAAGAGGCACAACCTTATCCTTTGTGGCTGATTACTATTGGGTGAGGGAGTGTTGATCTTCTTTAAGAGAGAGACTCTAGATTGTCTGAGTAGACTCCAGTGGATGAACTCAAACCATGGGATATCTAGGCACACAAACTTGACTTGATAGGCCTTAACATATGTGAGAGAATGCATGAAATCTTGTCGGGGAGCTATAGGAAGGTGATGATAGGGAGGGGTCTAAATATGAATAAGATGTACTGTAATGCCCCAAAGTTGAATAAAATCTTAAAGTGAGAAAACAAAAAAGATTAAACTTTTATAATCATATATACTTTTATTCGTGAAATAAAATTGACAATTTTACATGTTTTTATAGTTATATAATGGACAAAGTAAGAAATACGTAGATGTCAGCAACAGATTCCTTTCCTCTTGAGATTTTTTTATTTAAATTTTTATTTTATATGTATAAGTGTTTTACCTGCATGCATGTAAGTGTGCCCATTTCATGCAGTGCCCGTTGAGGACAGAAGAAGAACTGGAGTTACAAACAGTTGGTAGCTGCCATGCGGATGCTGAGATTCGAACCTGGGTCTTCAGCCAGAGCAGACAGTACTCTCAATTGCTGAGTCATCTCTCCAAACACACCCCACTCCCTTGAGCTTTTATTCAAAAATCCTACTTTCTGGGCTGGAGTGATAGTTCAGCGGTTAAGAACACTGTTCTTGCAGAAGACCCAGGTTCAAATCCCAGTACCCACATGGCAGCTAACAACTGTCTGTAACTCCAGTTCCAGGGGATCCGACAGTCTGTTCTGTCCTCCACAGACATTGCACGACACGGGTGCACTTACCTACATGCGAGCAATACATGCATACACATAAAATAAAAATAATAAATACAATATTTTTAAAAATCCTACTTTCGTGTCTCTAATCCTGAACCTAACAACTTTCCCCTTATGCTTAATTTAACAAATTAAATCAAATTTAATCCACAGTAGTTTATGCTGGTGGTTCTCCCCTTTCTATAGTAGAGCAAGGGGTTGTTTAGGATTCTAGAGGTGAGTCATAAAGGACCTTGATCCTCATGCTCAGTTGCCCTCTCAACTGGATATTCTGTTTAAATATTTACTTGTTGCCTGTAGAATTCTGCTGTCATTAGTCTGTTTTAATATTAAATAATGTTCTCTTCTGATCTTAAAACTGGACTCTAAAATCTGACTCTAGAAGTTTTGAGTTAATATCTACTTTCACAGATGTTGCACTTGAGACGTGTAAAATAATGAAGACTATGCTGGGCTTTCTCATGCTGGAAAGGCACATTTCCCTTCCCTTTTTTCCCACATGAACATTTCTGACATAGGAATATGCCACTGGACTTAGTAGTTCTTTCATTTTCCCTGTAAAATTATTAAGGTTGATGCTATGTCTTATTAAATATTATTAACCTTGTATGGAATGAGTTTTACTAAAGAAGAGATGAGAGTTTTAGGACATTAAATGTTACCAAAGGTAAGAATGGTAGCAACATAGAAAATAATTCATGTTTACAGACAAGTGTGCCTTTCACTCCCCATCAAAAGAGCT